CAAGTGTCGAGAGAGAATCCACATATGGGGAGATTCGAGCAACGAGATGGTCATCACAGCTGACTTGTTACCTCATACACAAGCTAAGTTAGGTACGAAAGGAAGAACAAGGCACAGATTTGCCCCCAAGGGACTACTGTACTCCGTAGGTACGGCGAAGAGAGAGGGTCTCCCCAGAAATCCAAGGCTGCCCTTTCGCCGACTACAAGTCCTATCTCGGTGGAACCCCCCCAAATACCAAGCAAAGCACGGCCAGAACCCATTTTCTACGCGGAGCTTAATGAGGGAATTCCGAGCTCTTATCCGACCTACGCTTAGCTTCTTGGATTCCCTGCTGCTCAGTATCTTCTCTATCTTATATATTCCTCTTCCATCTCTGTGTTCAACTTGCACTTCATCCTCCCTCCCTCCTCATCCATCTCATATATCCATCATATATCATAACTCATGTGTACTCCCTAAGCAAGCAAGTCTAATTAATATATACCCATATACACATATACACATACATGCACAGTTACATACAACCGCCCATCATGTCTACATATCCTCAAGACGTCCACAACGACATCTACCCTTCAGACCAAGGCCACGACTCCAGCAAAACCAACAGCAAAGAGAAAGTACCCATCGACAATGAAAAAGGCCACGACATAGATCTTCACTCCGCCCACAACGTCCCCGTCGTAGACAATGGCTTCGGCGGCGGCGAGGGCTCAAAAAACTTTCGCAACATGACAAAATGGGACACCACCTTCGCTCTGCTGACCAACCAAGTCGGTCTCGGAGTATTGTCGTTACCCAGCGTTCTCAAGACCATGGGTATTATTCCTGGTCTTATTGCTATTATTGGCATTGGTCTTTTGTCGTGGTATACTGCTTTTGTGCTGAAGCAGTTCTTTGGAAGACATCCTCATGTGTTGAACGTCGTTGACATGACCCGTGTTGTTGGCGGTCGTCCTCTCGCTATCGCCTCTGGAATCGGTTTGCTGGTCCAGGTGATCATGACAGCTGCTTCGGCGAGTGTCACGCTCTCTATCGCCTTCAACACTATTTCCAGCCACTCCATCTGCACTGTGGGCTTCATCGGCGTGGGCTGTCTCTGCTGCTGGGTCCTCTGCGCGCCCCGAACCTCCAAGTTCGTCTCGCAGTCCGGCATCCCCTGCATGGTCTCCGTCATCGCCGCCTCGGTGCTGGTCATGATCTCCCTCGGAATCAAGAACCCCAGCGCTGCGCCCGTCGGCTGGAAGAAGGACATCAAGATCGTTGCGAACCCCGACTTCCGCTCTGGTCTCAACGCGTGCCTCAAGATCTGCTACGCTTACTCTGGCAACATCAACTTCGTCACTTACATGGCTGAGATGATCGACCCTGTCAAGGACTTTGGCTTTGCCCTTGCTTGGTTGGAGATTGTGTCCATCACCTTCTACGTTATCGTGGCTATTGCCATCTACTGTCTTGCTGGTGAGTACACTGTCTCGCCTGCCCTCGGCTCGGCTTCAGAGACCATTGCCAAGATCGCCTATGGCATTGTCCTCCCCGCTGTTCTGTCCACCGGACTCGCCTTTGGGCACACTGGAATCAAGTACGTGTACGTCCAGGTGATGAAGCATTTCAAGCTCCAGAGCGAGATGACTGCCAACAATGTTCGCTCGTGGTCCATCTGGATGACCATCGTGACCGTCTTCTGGGCTCTCTGCTTCATCCTCTCCAACGCTATCCCCGTGTTCGACTCTATCTTGTCTATTGCCTCGGCGACTACCATCTCGTGGTTCACCTTCGGCTTCAGCGCCGTATTCTGGTTCCACATGAACTGGCACCAGATGTTTGCCAGCCCCACCAAGATCCTGTTGACCTGTGTCAACGCCTTCCTCATCGCAATCTCGATCTTTATGAACGCGGCTGGTCTGTGGTCATCTATCACGGAGTTGTTGGACCTGTTTGCCAACGACTCTAGTTCCATCCAGGGCGTCTTCGATTGCGGAAGCAATGCCCTCTTCTGAGCAGGTCTCGGACTCGTGTATGAAGTAAAGTATCCAGTTATTTTTTCGTTTAGACAGCGGGAATCATTCTTTCACTCTTTGTAAGAGCATTACGTTGGTATCGTCTCCTGAATGCTGTCATCCCTGTATATGTGTGTCATGTTATTTTCACTCAGCGTTTGTTAGAAACTGTTATATAAGAGAAATCAAATAGTGGTTCCACGTAACGTGTGGTGATCCAATTGTGTTGTTGTGAAGTCACCGGAGACTCCGTAGTAGTAGTCTTGGCAGTAAATCCCAAGACGCGAGCCTGGGATATATATCCACAGCCGGCCGAGTTGATGCTCACAACCGGGCCGGTTGATGGCAGTGATATATCCCGAGCCAAACCGGTCGGTAGTGGATCGTCGTTGACACAAGGTTTGCTTGCCTGAATCTTTGATGGATCGGTAGTGGATCTCATCTAAAGGAAATCACGTTGAATGTGGTTCCATTGCCAGGATGTTCGGATGCTAAAGTGGATTTGCCGCCAAGCCACCCGCTGACTGCCTGGCTTTGGGGCGAGTGGGACCTTGCATAGCGTAAAACTTTGCTAGAACCGCCTGCATGCGGCTCTTTTCAGGGCATAAGCCTCCTGGAACTTGCACCTGTGAGGCTGAAGTGAATATGATCTGACTCGTGATGCGCTGGGACCATGCCACTCGCAATAAGCTCCACGACTCATCATCATCTGCCCTATCGCGTGCAAGATGAAGGGAAAAGGAGCTGTGGCATCCCCTTGTGTCTTTCTTGAGCCGACGAATTCCGGTGTTCGTGTTGATCATCAGTTTCATGCCTCAGCCATCAAGTGGCTGAGCACAGCGGCAAAACTCGTCCATATCTTATCGTGACTCTCAAAGCCATGACCAAGGCTCAAGCTGTCGATCAGCAATCGATAAGAACTTGGCGATAGATAATGTTGGTGTTGAGGCTCTGCGGAAACCAACTGCCGATAGATGATCAACGCACTGAAGAACAAAAAAGTTGGTGATATTCAGGCAACAGATGAGAGGAAATCATGGAAAACACCACAACTCAACCTGTCAGACAATCCCCCAACTCAACTTCACAATCTCCCGGTGGCTCATGGCCTCGTTATATAACTTTCCCCCTTGGACCTCTTGGAGCCCGCACAACACCACGTCGGCGTATTTGTCGTCTTGTGCCGGTCCAGACAGGGTATTATCCGCCACGATGTCCTGCGACATTGCAAGTCGTGCTCTTATTCCTGTCACTATTCAACTCCCAAGTCCCACTGTTCCTCCACTCTTTGCCGGTCCCTCTCTTATGCCGTGGAAGTGCGCATCAGCATCTCATGAGGCTCTGCCCAAACGCCTTCGCTTGCCTATTTCCATTAGCCCATCGATTCCAGTTGTTCACGCCATGTAGGCTCCGCCATCATTTCACAATTTCGTTTTTCTCGTTCGTCTTGTTCTTGATCGCGTTTCATTTCAGGTGGGATGCCTCTTTCTATTCCGGTTTTCTTGTCAAACACATTGACTTGGTAAATGTACAGTTCCGGCCCGGCCCTATACCCGGGAATATTTGTCTGGTCCTCTAGTTGCTTCGTGCACCTCCCTTCGACTCCCTCAACTCGTCCATCTTGGCGACTCGCTTCTTGAACTCGACGTACTGGCACTTCTCGTAGCTATGTCGCTCATCCTAGTCATTCCCTCTAGCGTAAGCATGGTGTTTTTATTGATATTGATATCTCGGTAATGATCGGCTCTTTGTTGGGCTGAAGCTTGGCTGGGCTGAGCTCGGTGTAGCCGCGGACTTGGACTTCTTTGGGCTCAAGCTCTGGAAAAGGGTAATTGACTTACCGAGCACTTCCAGGGGGCGTACCACGTATCCCGTCGGCACTTGTTGAGAGGAATCAAGAGGTGAGCGCAGCTGTCTCGGTAGGCCAGAGGGAGTTTGGCATCGCGCATCTCCTCGCGGGTCGCTTCTGCTCAGCAAGTCAGCGGTCGATATTCGGTAGGAAAAAGTCGCTCGAGTATCAATTGTCGGGTCGGTACGTACGCCGCGGCTCGGTGATTGCGTCGGAAGCCATGGTTGCTGATCAATTGGACTTCGAGATGTGAGGTTGTCTTGGATTGGCAGAGCTGTCGTGAGATACTCTTTCGGTTCAAGGTCGGAAGTGTTGGTTCGTGCCTTGTATTTCCGGCAGAAAGTGATTGCTGTCCAATCAACGCTCGTGAATTACCACGCCGACTTTAAATCGTCGGTTCACCTCCTACGGTATTGATTTAACGATGATGCTTCTCGAACTGTTAAATGCGCTCTGTTCTTAATATCATTCTGCCTGTCATCTCGTAGACTTCGTTGCGAGTCTGAGATGATCGCAACTTCAACCTCATCCGTGCCGGAGACAGTGGGGCCGGGTCACTACCGGCTCCAGGCGTACAAGGTGAAGAGATGAGCAAGACAATTGCCCAATGCCATTCGTCATCTTTTTCTAATATCTTGTTTTCTTGCTCTTATATATAATACTCAGGTCACGATCTTCTACCTCCGGTCAACCAGCACGTTGGCATCTGGCACTTCATCACCGATAGCTCTCTCGACCAACGCTTTGACTTATGGTTCGTTAGGCACGACAAGGATCTTAGGCCCATCAAAACGATTAGGCTTCTGGAAGCTATCATAACAATATGTATACGCTTCGGTAGACCTACGAGAAGCACCGTCCGTTCACCTGGGATTGAGCCCATTCGACACTCCTCACAAACTGCTTGAGCCTGTCGGGGGAGGGAAAGCAAACTTAGGACCTTGAGCCTAAGAGACAAAAGAGCTCTAGGTAAGTTTAGGATAGACTTGGGAGGCACCTTGATAAGCTTTGTTAGCACCCTAGTTCGAAGGCCCAAGTTTCTGGCTCCCCAAGGCCTGCTTCAACCGGTCTCTGCTTGTTGACACCCACTGACGCCGTATAAAACCCTCGAGTTGTTCATCACGTAAGAACAACACGACATCAGCGCATGCCCAGCTTTGGCGAAGCTCAAAGACATCAAAAGACCATATCGCGGTACTCCACTCTTGTGTGATAGAGTCGCGATGCTATAACCTATGCCGACAAAGGCTGACTCTTGATTTGTCTGGTGCCACTCATCAACCACGCTAGTTGGATTATCGAGAATAGTTCCTGTTATTCGCGAGCGGTCTCGGTTTATTCGAAGCACCACGAGATGCTATAGCTCATGTTGTATAGACCACTAATAATGCTGTCATTATCACGAGACAGCCCCTCAGGTCCAATGATGCCACTCCAGGCCCTCACGATACTCATACCCAACTTGTGGTCCCTCAGCATCGATCAAATACCCATATTCGCAACGATCGAACCGAACTTTCACCTGTTCCTTGTAGAAGGCGTTAAACCTTGCCCGGAGAGCATCCTTCAAGCTCGCCACGTCACCCTCAGGATGGAGAATCTTCCAAGGTTCAATGCATGTGTTGCCTTTACAAGACTTCAATACGAGCATGAGAGCATCCAGGCGATTGAGGACTTGTTGGGTAGTGGTGCCCAGGAGTGCAACGCTGGACTTCGCATCATCATGAGGGAAGAGGTTGTTCAACTGTCCCGGGTCCGTCTAAACAATGTGAGTATCAAGCTGATCAACAAAAATTGGGACAAACACACCTTGATATCGTAGAGCTCGTGCTCATTGTTGCACCAAGCCGAGTAGTAAAGATTGTAGTCCTCATGCACTATCCTCACGCCCTTGTATGTGTTATTAGGCGCAAAGATCTGGCCTTTACCGTCTGTAGTACTCCGTCAGCAAATTGAACTCAGCATTCAAGGTAGCCTGGCAATACCAAAACCGCCAATCTCGCCCTCAGCGATGGCGCCGCCCCAGTACTCAACGGCTACATGCTCATGTCGCTTGTTCTCCTGAGTGGGCAACACCGGGATAGGGGTTCCGTCAAAGTCGCCACGAAGGTCCGCGCCTGCGAGTCTGAGAATCGTAGGAGCGAGGTCGATGTGTGTAGTCACGGCATTCTCAACGAATCCGGAAGATACACCTGGACCTCTGATGAAAAGAGGGACGCGGATGTCTTCATCGAAGCCACACTCTTTACCAGGAGGTAGTCTGTGCTGACCCAGATGATACCCATTGTCAGAGCTGTAGATGATGTATGTCTCGTCAAGTATGCCAGCGTCTTCAAGTTGCTTGGCTACTTGCTCTACGATCTCATCGACTCCCTGCAGAGCCTGGAGACGAGCACGGTAGAAGTCATCAAGGTATGAGACTGATGATTCGTTGAGCTGAGACAGCTTGTGAATCCAGCTCACACCACTAGGCTGCTACACCGTCAGCATTGGCTCTACTCAAAGTCTCAGTAATACGTACCGAATCCGGGTTAAAGTTCTCTGTTCTTGGAACTTGAACCCCCTCAAAGAGATGAGAATGTCTCTCAAGAGGAATAGGAATAGTCATAAGAGGTGCACTCGGATTTCCAGGTTGCCGCCGAAGGTTCACGTTTGAGTGCGGCGCAACAGGCGCAATAGCCACAAAGAATGGATTCTCGGAATCAATCGCTTCTTTCAACAAATCATGTGCATACTTGGAAATCAAGTCAGAAGTGTGCACTCCTTTGTGTTGGACTGGCGGCTCCTGGTTGCGTTGGTAGATAGGATTTAAGTAGTCATACGTGCCCGGATCGAGGAGGAAGTTAGTTCCTGTCCATCCTGCCGGGTATGGAGAGTTGTAATTGTTTATGGTATGGGCATTGAATAGCTTGCCGGTGTAGTATGTGTTGTACCCAGCTTCTTTCAACCATACAGGCAAGTAGTTTTCGTTCAGACCCTGTGAGACGAACTTGGGGAAGCCACCTTTTCGATCAGCATTTTATCCGAATAGTACTATATCCTTCAACTTACCATACGGTGGATTCACGTCCGTGACATTAGTGTTATGAGGTTGTTTCCCTGTCCAAAGTGCAACACGGGATGGACAGCAGATGGCCGTGGTGGTGAAGTGGTTGACGAACGATGTGCCCTTATCAATAACATGCTCTTTGAGTTTGGGCATATAAGAGACTGAGTCTAGAACAGCGTCTTGATCGTCTGTGAGGATGAAGACAATGTTCTTCTTCACACCAATGTTTGTCTTTGGCTTGCTCTTTGCAGCGTCGTTGTTTGGCGACAGGACGGCCTGGTCTTCTGGCTCGAAGTTGAACAGTGCATTGGTATTTTGTGCCAGCAGAGAACTTGCCAAGAGCACTGGCTGTATCCAAGCTGGAGGTCGCATATTAATGAGTGGCCGAGGGTGTCAATGGATATAAGTGCACTCCTACTAGACTGAAAGGATGATGATGGTGATACAAGGTTCATCAGTTGACCTTTTGATGTTCTTCTCGAGAGGGGCAATATCTATTAATGAATTCCTTGAATATCCATTGCTACAAGAATTATTTATCGGAAATACCGCTATCGAAGGTAATGGCTCTATCCGTAGGATGGTGTTGTGCAACGATTCGATGGCGTCAATGTTAGTGTTTGTATGAGATTTCCCCCCAAGCCACTAACAACCCCCACCAGTTCGCATCCGAGTGGCGGAGAGATCCGAGGAAGCTAAAGAATAAGCCAACTTCAATGTCGGAGTCTCCACTGGCGTCGGCGAGTGTAGAGACAGTCATGGCAAACCTCGAGGTCACAATCTGGGCAAGAGAAGATGGATTGCCGCATCTCTGACCCACAATCGTCGCAAACATGTTCACCGTCCACACGGTCAAAGACGTCTCGGTGACGGCATCCAATGGGCTCGTTGGGTCGCGCTAGTTGTGCTGGTGCAGCGGCGATTTCTCCTGCTCGCATCATGAGGCGATGCTCGTCCCAGTGAGGACAGTCGCAAGTCTTCCACTGTTTGCCGCAGAGATAGCAGAACTGGTACTTGCAACGACAAGCTGTATCACACGAATGATTAGATATGTACGGAACAGAAGATGAGTGAGACAATGACCAATCAACTTACGGACATGAAAGCAGCCGTGGGTCAGCTCGACCATGTTCTTGCATTGTTCGCAACGTCGCCATACATGTTCCTCGGCCAGACGAACAACTCTTTGTGACTCAGTGTCATCGGCACAAACACCCTGATGTGTCTTGCTCTGACAATTGAGACACGTCTTCTTCTCGCAGCGAGTGCAGCGGGCAACTCCAGCTTCAATGAATCGCAGGGGTATGAAAGCAGAGCATGTCTTTTCGCTGCAGTAGCATGTTCTTCTCTTTTGTCTTCATACTCGGTGAACAAGTCCTCTGGAATCAAGGGATTTGCGGTGTCGATCGGAATGGCTTTTCCGCAGCATTTCGGTGGAAGAGGGATTCGTCTTTGATCGATGTCTGAATGCACTTGATGAGACATGGCTGGCACATTCCATGGGCGCAGGGTGCTTCGAAAATCTCATCTTTGGGGAGTTCCTCGCTGCAGTAGAGACACTCCTCTGTTTCGACATGTAGCTCGGAGGGAGCGGAGGACGCGACCCGAGGGGTTCCTGTTTGTTTGTCGGCATCTGGCTCTCCCTGGGGCTCTTCGGGTTGGATTTCCTCTGCTTGGATCTCATCTTCGTCCTTTTGGGAGCCGTCGTCTTGAGAAGCTGCGTAGTTGCTCTGGTTGTCGGCGTCACTCTGTGAGTCGTCACCAGTAGCGCTCTCAACACCTGTCTCATTTCCTCCAGCAGCACTCGGGGCGTCGTGAGTTTTTTCATGGCTGAGTTCCGTCTCAACTGCAGTGCTCTCTCCCGGCTGCACAGCAACGTTGAAAGCTTGCAGTGTACGATAAGTTTCGTCATCCAGCCCACCATCGTCAGCGCCATCACCAGATTCAGGAATAGCATCTGGGTTCTCGCCCAGCCGCCTGTCAAACTCGTAGTCTCGTCTAGCCTGCTCCTCTTCACGGATGAGGGTGGCAATCAGCTCTGCGTCGGCCTCAACGACCTGCGCCATGCTGAGGGCGATTGCATGGTCATTGGGTTCATCCATCGTTGAGGTTGAGGATGAGGAGGAGAAAGAAAAGATCAGGGCCCGCCTGAGGAAAGAAGATGTGAGGTGAGGAGAAGAGCAAACAACTTTAGGTGCAGGCGTTGGCAAGTGGCAGGAAATCACATATACTGTCAGGCAACTGGCTTGCAGTGCCAGAAATCGGAGGACACCTCATATAACACTAGGAACTTCACTCAGCATTGGTGCCTGAAGCCTCTGAATGTGAATACCTAGATAGGTAGGTATGTATAAGGTCGTTATACCAAAGCACAAGCAGGTCGGCAAATGTGTAAAATCCAGCGGTTGCCTGCATAAATTGAGAGGCTGAGCGTCGGCAAACACACGCTCAAGCACATATTCCACTCTTCTCACCCTTTCGCCGGATGCTAGGTCCCGATAGTCGCTATTTGTGTGCAGTATTGCCGAGTGTCAATTGAACAATCTATCGCAGAGGCACAGAAGCTGAGGACTTGCGAGTTGGCGTGAGTGCCAAAACGACAAACAAAGGTTCATCTTCGTTTACTTACCCAATAAAACATCACTATGATTTCCCCTACTCGCTATACTCCTTTTGCTACTGGGGAACTGGACGTCGTGATACTCAACAGGCTATCAAGTAGAAGATCGTGCCTCAGACATTTCCAACCTCAGCCAGTAGCCAAGAAGAAGCGTAGCCGACCAGCTCCGGTCTCGAAGGTCTCAGAATAACATTGTTCTCCTTTTTCGTATCATGTTTGAGCCATTCTTGTCAAGTAACGTAGACTCTATCAGTAGATGCTTGCCTAGTTGGTATGTAACAAGTTACAGTACTCTCAGACACAGGGCCAAGTTTCTCTTCTACCACAGATATCATATCAATCATGAGATTCTATTCGAGATAAGATCTCAATAACATAGTCCATGAAACAAAACACTATATGAGTCAGTCAAATACATGCAGGGTCCAACTCCACGACCACTCAATTAAGCATATCCGCAACCTACCACTCGTAAACAACCCATCAAATCCCTCCTCCTAACCCTTCCGAAAACAATATCAGTCACTCATATCTTCTCTCCCTCAATCATATGCCTATCCCTCTAGTTCAGTGGCTCATGCTCTCCCCATCTGAGGACCCCTAACCTCCACCAAAAATGATTGGCTCTCATTCACCCACGCTCAAACACCACAACACAGAGCAGCCTAGCAGATTGAAACAAGTGTTTTCGAGTATTTCTCTATCAGGCATTCTCATGGTAATCGCGTCGCGTTCAGCGCGGTGTATTGATGTCCAGTGGTTGTCGGCGCAACGGCGTTGGGTGAAGTGTTCGCTCAAGATATAAACCCGTAGGTCAACACACCACGAGATTAACTCGACAGTCTTTTTTCAGCGTGCTTTCTTCTTTTATTCTATTACAACTGAATCATTTATACCACTTTTGAGTATTTGGCTTCTCTCGTTTGAGCCTTTGTTATACTATACCACTATCATCAACACCACCTTTGGTCAACTCACCGCATACCCTCACTACAACACCACACTCTCTCAACTTCAATCTTTTTTTACAATCATGTCCGACATCATCGCCTGGCTAGTCCCAACAGCCCGCAACTCCCTCGCCGATAAAACAACCCATCTTCCCTCCAACATCCCCCGCGCCGTCCAAACAACCTCATCCCCAACCCTGCTCTCTCGCCTGCCAAACCTCCTCGGCAGCCGTCCTTCCCGTGCTCTCAAACTCTCCTTCAACACAGCCCCCAAGCGGCCTGGATCTTTCGTTCTCGGGGCCGATCCTTCGACATGCGATATTGTCCTCCCTTCACTGCCGGGTATCGATGCACGACACTGCGAGTTGAGCTTTGATGCAGAAGGCCGTCTTGTTCTAAATGACTTTTCTGAAATGGGAACGCAGGTTTGGTATGATTGGGAGAGTAACGGTGATCAGACGGATTATACCTGGATTTTGAGCTCTGGTGCTGAGGCTGGGTTTCCGAGTATGGTGCAGAGAATCACGGTTGACATTCAAGGTGTGAGATTTCAGGTTGTTGTGAATGATCACTCTGACGATTGGGATGCATATCACGACAAGGTTGAAGATTTCGTCCGACAGCCTTCGTGGGCGCATGATTTGTCTCCTGGTTGGGATCGAGGATCAGTCACTCCTGTTGCGCCGCTGTTCTCAAACGTCCCTCTCTTTCAACACATTCTCGTCAAGGCTTTGGGCGAAGAGCCCGTCGGAGAAGTATATCTCTGGAACTTGGCTCGGCCATGGGAGCCTATGGTCAAGGCTGCTGCATGAGCGGTCTTTATGTATCACGTATTCGGCGTTAAGGATTGGTCGTTTTTGTATATAAGTACTGGGCAGGATCCTTTGTAACGACAAAGGCAGCGATCTTTTAGCATTAGCGCAGACTTTTTGGTAACAGTGTTCATCATTAAATCGAGGTATCACACAACTCCTTGCTCCCTATAGTCCCATGCTTTTCTTGTTACAGATCCTCGGGCAGCGCCAACACCTCGCGCTTCTCCTCCTCGTTATCCTCCGTCTGCTCCTCTCCAGCCACGTCGAAGCGCGTCATGCTGAACTCAGGAATACGTCTTCTCTGAACGCGCTGGCCGCCCTTCTTGCCCTTTCGCATCTTGGCTGTCTCTGCCTCTTCGGCCACGACGGCCTTCTCACCGGCCTTGTCTAGCATTGTACCCTCCAAGCTGAGATAGCTGGTTTCACCGCTGGTGCCGACGTCGAAGTTACGTATTCGGAAGCGAATCTTGCCCTTAACTTTGTCGCCGTTGCCGTCGGCCCAGAAACCGGTGCTGTGGATTTGACGGACTACACCGTGATCATCGGCGGTGATGACTGAAGCGGTCTCCTCGAAGCCTTGGGCCTCGGGGGATTCATTGGGAACCCATTTCCAATCGGGAGGAAGTCGACGAGCTTCAATTGAAGCGTTGAACTTGCCGAAGCAAACAACGCCAATGTGTCCCTCAGTCTGCAAGTTAACGCTACCCTCCATCCAAGCACCGCGACTCGGCACGAAAAGATCAACATCAGCGGTGATCCAGCCAAAGCCAACAGCAGACTCGCCCTTGGCCATGACAGTCGCAGGCGACTCATCATCCGTAGCCGCGCCCTTTCGTCCTGGGTTTTCGCCAAAAGCAACATTCTTGTAATCGAGGAGAACACCGCGGAGCGAAGGCACGTACTTGTTTCGGAGATGTGAGAGATGCTGTTGCTGGCAGCTCGTAACAGGCTGTGCCCAGCCAATTGGGAAGAGAGGCTCGTAGAGTGACACAGTCTGTGTGAAGAAGGGGAATTGAGGGTTCGCGGGGATATCGGGTGGTTGGTAAATGTTGTTACTGGACTTTGAAGGTTTGGCGGGAGGAGGCATGTCAATCTCCATGGCGTCAGGGTCGGCGGGTGAAGCATCTTCCTCGGGCTCAACAGCGGTTTCGTCCTTCTTAGACTTCTTGGGTCTCTGTGCAATTTCTATCGCTTCGGTATCCTTGTGCTTCTTCTTGCTCTTCTTCTTCTTCTCGCCGTCCGCTACAGCCGGGGTGTCGACCTCTTCGGTATCCGCATCGTGATGCTTCTTCTTCTTATGTTTCTTCTCCGGCTTATCCTCTACCGCAGCAGCTTCGGTCACTGGTTGCGCGACAGCGTCTTCGGCATGCTTATCCTTCTTGCTCTTCTTCTTTTTCTTCTCGGCCCTCAAATCGCTGCTTGCTTCAGGTGCTTCTACAGCAGCGACGCTCTTTGACTTTTTATGCTTTCGCTCGGTGTCGGCAACTGCATCTTCTTCTCGAGCTCGCTTCTTCTCCTTTTTCGCCTTCTTTTCAGCCTTGGCGGCGGCGTGGTCGATTGGCGCCATTGTTGTCGTCGGGCCTGTTTGCGAAGCTATCGCAGTCGTATGGTGTTGACGAAGCCGAAGAGACTCGAAAAAATTAAAATTCTGGCTTATCTTATCGTGGGAGCTCAGCGAACTCACCGTGTTTGGTGGGGCTTCACCGAGTTCACCTTGACTTCGTATCTTGATTACCCTACAGCAACCGTTTTTGTCTTCATTCTGCAGTCACAGTCTCACTACCGTTCCTATTTCACGTGCTAGCTCACTAGCTCGATGGTCGCGGATTTTGCAGAATATTTCTCTGCTTGTTGTTTTCTACCTGATTGCGTTAAAATTTGGAGACTAAATATGCTATTGGCTGTTGAAGTTCTGTTTGTTGGGTAATCCACTGGGCTGATTGACAATAATAGGCGCTAGTCTGATGCAAACAATCAACAAGTAACTTTCAACCTCTGCATCTTCTGAAAAAAATACCGCAGATGAGAATAGACAGTTTAGAATGAACGAACATACGGTCTCAGCAAAGCAAGATACCTGATGGAAGTCCGGTAGACCACAACTACCAACTACCACTCGCATACCTACCTTAGGTAGTTGGAGAGTTGGCAGTTGAAGGGTCAACTTGCCGGTCGTCTGTCTAGTCCAACAACCACAGCACACACTTGGAAATCGAGCGAGTAAGGTCTTCCTCAGGACATTCAGAAACAACATCACACGACCTGTCCTCACACCATCTCAAGTTATCTAGTAGAAGACCGATCATAGGTGAATTACTACCTAGAAGTCTCCAGTGTCAAGAAGTTGGCTACACTCATGCACGATCAACATGTCAAAGACTTGATCTGCCTATGGTCCACGGTGAACTGTTAGGCTTGCATAGGAGATCAATAGTTCGTATTTCCCCAGACGATTGTGAGTGGGGTGATATACAGGAGTTCCCAATGTCCGTCGGAACGGCTATTCAAACACCGGAGTATCAACGGAGAATACGAGCGTGGGCCAATTCCCCAATACCCAGATATTGAAGTCAAGGATTCTTTGTCAGAAAGATCTACTACAAATCTTGTCTGTCTACACTCGAAAGATGAGTCTTGAGAGTCATGGTTTAGAGAAAGGACCAAGATGCAGACAACAGCGAGATGCCCGGACCGACAGCAAAGTCAATATCCTGTGCGTTATCGGAACAACAAGCGCTCTAGATTGTCGCAAAAGCCATTCGTACCGTGAATCGCCTGACTTGCATGACGAAGGAATGTTAATGAGCCGATACACGATCCGAGAAACTAACACCTTAGACCAAGCTGGAAGGTAAACAATGTGTTGAGAGTCCACCTTGATGTTTGCAGCCACCATGCAAAGGCCTTTGCTATCGAAT